CTTAAGAAAATTGAGGGAAGGGGGAAAGTTGGGGGGATGGGGAAGAAGGTTGCAAAGGGTGCCAATCTATGAAAAGGCATTATATTCATAAACTGCTTTGTTGCATGGCAGCTCCTTTGTACAACTACTTAAAGAAAATAAAAATATATTGAAAAGCTAGGAGCCAGTGGCTCACCCCTATAATCCTAGCTATTCAGGAGGCTGAGATTTGAGAATTGTGTTCAAAGCTAGCCTAGGCAAGAAAGATACTTTTATATCCAATAACCAAGAAAGCTGGAAACAGAACTGTGGCTCAAGTGGCAGAGCACTAGCTTTGAGCACAAAAGCTCAGGGACAGAGCCCATGCCTGAGTTCAAGCCCTAGGGCCAGCACCAAAAAAATAAAAACAGAGAACTCAATGCCAGTTCCAGTGCAGAGCTGAAATAACAGGTTCCAGAAACTATTTCAAGCAAGGAGAATGTTACAGAAGTGAGTGTGTAGACTCATAAGGTAGAGAATTTTACCGAGCTGCTTAGAAACTCTGAAGACATTTTAATACTGCTGGATATCAGATAATATCAAAACATTCTTAGTAATTTTAGATGTGAGCATGATAATGTTACATTTTTAAAGGAGTCCATTTCAGGGATGCATATGGAAATATGTATAAATTAAACCTATGATGGGAAAGATTTGTTTCAAAATAACCTCAAGAGAAAAGAACAAGGGAGTGGTGGGAGGCCGGGGGGGAAGGAGAGGAGAACATGGAATGTATTCTATTATTTGTTCCACTTTCGGTATGTTTTTCAGATTCCTCAAAACAGACCCAAACTGCTTCCCATCAATCTACACCTCATAGCCTCCCCTGGTAGGTAGGAGAAATAAACCAAAGAGGTCCCAAATCCTTGAGTTAGGAAAAGGAAAGTTCTGGAAAGATTCAACATCTCATGGCTATGGACAGTCCTTTATTCTTTGGTGCCCAAGTTTTTTCCTGCTTGTGAGCGGCACATAATCTCACACACGTGCACACACACACACAGAGGCCAACAGTGGAAACACAATCCCCTCTGTGTGCATCTGTGCGTTTTGAGCTCCTTGGACCCAGCAGAGGTGCGGCCTGGCCACAGCCAGCCCCACACAGAAGCGTTGTATGCAACGTGGTTTGAAAGATGCAGGATTCCCAGAAGCCCCCACCCCCACCCCAAGTTTTCAGAAAAGACCTCATGCATCATTCTCTCCACCAACTGCAGAGAGGCGCAGAAACAAAACCCTCTGCTTCCACACAGGAGGCTTTTAGCAGCTCTGTTTACTCCTCCACACAAAGCCCTTGTTTATGCGTGACAGATGGCCCTACATGTTTCTCTTCTCTGCTCTCTCCCCCCCTCACCCCTTCCATTTGTTCCTCTCTGTCTCTTTGCCCAACCCCACTGGTCTCTTTGCACCATCCTTTCTCCTGCCTCTCACAGGGACTTTTCCCAGATTGTCTTTCCTTTTCCCCTGCTGACTCCAAAGCCAGCAAAAAGGCTAAAGACAGAATGGAACACTCTAGAACAACTTTGTCAAGTCATGCTCAGACAGATCTTGTTCACAGCACCTGGATTTGAAAAGTTTATCGAAAGACATATTAGCACACTCTTAAAACTGTACCAGCCCATCATGAACACTTAACATGGCAGGTCTGTACAGAGTCACTTCTTCAAAGCGGTCATAGTCAAGGTACATGCACACACCTGTGAGTATACACACGTGTGTGTGTGTGTGTGTGCGTGTGTGTACATGCACTCATGTTCTTTCCAGGCCCAATGATCCCAAAGAACAAATAGAGACCTAAACTTTACTGAATGCTTACTGCAATGAACGTAGTCGATAAGCCAGCTCAGGGAAGGGAAGGCTGAAGATTGGATATGCAAGAGGCCTTCGTTATCTCTATTCAAGGCTGTTTCTGCCCACTCAGACCCACACAACACACCCACTGTTCCACAAAATGAAGCAATTAGAACACACAGATGAAGGGCTAGAGGCATGGTTCAGTTGGTAGGGCACGAGGCAATGAGCAAAAATGTCAGGTACTAAGTTCGAGTCCTGGTCTCAGACCAAAAAAAAAAAAAAATACAGAGGTGACATGCAGTCTTTTCCAACTCAAGTATCTATGATTTTATGAGCAATTGCATCAAGGTTTTCAGATAATCCCGATGATGTGAATCTACTCGTTACCCAAATACCTGATGGGGCAGAAGAACTTGAGCAAAACTAGGTATCAGCTCATGAGTAAGCTGTGGAGACCTGTATAGTGGCAGACAAGAGAAGCTGAGGGAAAGGAGATCTGGCTGTGGAGGTTCATGCCTGTCCTCTTAGCTACTTGGGAGGCTGAGATCAGAAGGCTCTCAATTCCAGATTAGCACAGAAAGCCTCAGGAGACTCCAGTGAAACAGAAACAGTTAGGCATGGTGGTGTGCACTACAGCTATTGCAGGAAGCGAAAAGTAGGCAGACTATAATCCAAGCACATTCCACACAGGAAGTGAGTCTGTATCACAAAAATAAGCAGAGCAAATAAAAGAGGGGTGGGGGAGGGGGTACTGGAGGCATGGCTTAGACAACACACGGAGTTCAAATCTCAGTGCTGCCGCCCAAAAATGGTACAAATAGGGTCAGAGAAGGGGATCCAAAAGAAAATAACTACAGAATAGATCTAAAGCAGAAAAAGGAAGTAAGATTTGGCTCTGGCCCTGGCTGTCTAGAAGAAAAAACAACAGAAGAGCATAATTACCCACAGAAAGTGTATGCCTGCTGATCTACCAGGTCCCTAGAAATTCACTCTCAGGCCCCAGACCTGCTTCGAAAACAGACACTCCCCAAGACCCGAACACAGGCCCTTTGAGAAAAGGGCCTAATGTGATGTCTAGTTCTGCACAAGACTTTTATCTATCCCTGGTGACCACCCCACCTCCAGACAGCAAAGAATAAATACCCCCAAAAAATGAAGTGGCTATTTGAGCAGTAATAGCTACATCTGTGAATGATTAACTCCAGGATTTATTACCAATTAGGACTCTAAATCTCTGCTTACTTTGGCTCCCGGAAAGTTGATTTCACTGGAGGGTCAGGGGAGAGGGAGAAAGCCATCCGAGAGAAAGAAAGAAAAATGAGAACTTAAAATGACAACACACAAGATTCAAAAAGGAGGATGCGTTCTAAAGGTTCCGAGGAAGAAGGAAAGCAAATCTCATGGTTCTATGAGAAGCTGGACATGGTGGCTCACACCTGTAATCCTGAGATATGAGGATCATGGTTTGAAGCCAGCCCTGGCACCTAAAACTGGAAGTGGAATTGTGGCTCAAAGCAGTACAGCACTAGCCTTGAGGAGAAAAAAAGCTCAGGAATAGCGCCCAGGCCCTGAGTTCAAGCCCTATGACCAAGAAAAGAGAGGGGAGGAAAGAAAGAAAGAAAGAAGGAAGGAAGGAGAGAGAGAAAGAGAGAGAGAGAGAGGGACAGAGGGAAGGAAGGAAGGAAGGAAGGAGGGAGGGAGGGAGGGAGGGAGAGAGGAAGGAAGGAGGGAGGGAGGGAGGAAGGAAGGAAGGGAAAGCAGCTGATAAGATGCCACCTAGATGTCTCTTAGAAGAGGATGCCAGGGACCCCAAGAGGGTTGCATAACTAACTGAGTGGTCTCAGTAGTCCTCAGTAGCGAAGCATGGCATGATCTGGTGGAGGAGAATGAGTGTCAGGCATGGTTCAGTCCAGAGGTTCTCAGCTATTGGTCCACACAAATGCTATATAATTGATACTAAAAAGGTGAATATACTTTGGTTGGAATGGTATCAGCATAGAAATCTGTAGGTATTTTTTTGCCCACTGAGTGTTACCATTCATTCATGTACCAAACATTAAATGACAAGGGCTTTGTTGGGTTTGTTTTTTGGTTGGTTTTTTTTTGAGTCTATAAAATAAAAATACTGGTGCAGGTAATCACACAGACAGAGGTTCTAAGAGCTGTAAGAGGGACCCACACCAGTCTAACGACCCAGCAGAAAGTAGACAGCCTGGGGTGACAGGCATACGGGATGCTCTTAGTGAGTGAAAAGTGGCAAGAGAGATCATCTAATAATATATGCATCTTGCTAAGAGGTGAAGTGTGAGCCCTTAATAGAGGTAATAAATAATATAAATGTTATGGGAAGGTTGGGAGTATACTGTTGCTGATCCAAACACACTTAACCCAGGGCAGAAAAACATGCACATTTCTGTCTGGCGGCCATGTGAATGATGAAGTGGATTTCTGAGGGGATCTCGAAGGCTTTATCCTGTCTAAAGCGGAGGGTAGATCTCGCATCCAGCCAAAAACTGCCCCATCAGAATGTAGAGGCAATGAGATCAGGTCTCCAAGGAAAACCGCACATTTTGAGGTATCTAATGCCAGCTCCCCCCAGTTTTGGAGGATTTTGTTGTGCCATTTGGGGGGATGTTGTTCCTTGTTGCTTTGGTTTGGGTTTTTTTGTTGTTTTTTTAAGATAGGGTTTTCCAAAACAGCCCAGGCTGACCTTGAACTTCCAATCCTCCTGATTTAGCAATCCTCAGTGCTGGGATTACAGACGTGCACCACCGCACCTGGTTATGGGATCTCCCAGTTTTGCACGAGCATCAAATTCAAGTGTTTTCAAAACACTAGGTAATCAGGTACTCATAGCTCATGCTCCGTAATCCTAGCTTTAGGCAGCCGAGATCTGAGGGTTGTGGTTCAAAGCCGGCCCAAGCAGAACTATCCAAGTGACTCTTAACTCCAATTAACTGGGGCGGGGAGGGGAGGGGAGGCAGAAGTGTAGGTGTAGCACAAGTGGTAGTGTATCAACCTTGAGTGAAAGCTAAACAAGGTCCTGAGTTCAAGCTCCAGGACTGGCAACCCACCCCTCAAAAAAATTAATAAGCCAATGTGCTGTGTAGATCAAGGCTCACAGATCACCTCCAGTTCTGGGTTTGCTGTGGATCCTAAGGCTGCTGCTCATTCCTCTGTGCCTTCCCCTGCAGGCATGCTCATCTACTTTGGCTACGGCATCTGGAACAGCACCCTGGAAATCAGCGCCCGGGAAGAAGCCCTTCACCAAAGCACCTACCAGCGCTATGACGTGGAGGACCCCTTCTCCGTGGAGGAGGGCTTCTCCTATGCTACAGAAGGGGAGAGCCTGGACGACTGGGGCGGGCCCGGTGAGGACAAAGGCTTCTGTTACCAGCAGATGTCAGATGCGAAGGCAAACACCCGGACGAGTAGCAAAGCGAAGAGCAAAAGCAAACACAAACAGAACTCAGAGGCCCTGATTGCAAATGATGAGTTAGATTATTCTCCAGAGTAGAATAAACAAGCCAGAGGGTGGCAATGGAGATGCTCGATGTTCCGAAACATAACCTGCGGGCTAGAAGGGGGAACACTTTTTTGGACTCTCACTTCACAAATCCAGTCCTCAGTCATAGCCTATCATTTGCTATTTTTGCTCTTCAGGATAAGTCTGTGGAAGGACCTCGATTGGGTCCCTTTGTGAACATAATGATAATCACAATAATAAGCAAGAGGCTGTACAGAATTCCATCTTAGACAAGCCATCCGAGCGGATGGCAGCATATGTTCCCCTAGCCTTTTGCCTTGATGGTGGAATCCTTTCACCTCTTATTGAGACCCCAGGAAGAAAGTGGTAAGCGTCTTGTCCCCCTTCTGAGGCCCCACCTGGGGATGACCCCCCCACCCCAAGGCAGGCCACTGTGGACCTAATGCAGCATTTAGTTACCTGACCTCAGGAAAGCAAAGCTGGATTCCCAGCTGAGCTCTGAGCTGCTCCTGGAAACAGATTTGTTCTGAAACCACACACACACATACACACACACACACACACACACCAAAAATAATCATTCAGGAAACATGTTTCTTTTTATTCACCCAAGTTCTCATAATTTTTTTAAAATATAAAGATGTAGCCAAGTTCTCAAGGACTCCGGTCTGCCTTGAAGATTCCAGGTTCACTGTAAAGCAAGTTTGAATCTCCAGCAGGAGGGTGAACACCCAGATCAGAGCACCATCAAAACTATACTTAAATGTCCAGAAACAAACATGGTCTCTAGCAGTGGAGGCCAGAAGGGCATTGCCAGCAATTCACCCTCTGTCGTACCTGCCCTCAGCCCAGATGCTCAGCTCCTGCCCGTGAAAAGAAGGCAAAGGTAGAGCATGATTTCATGGCACTAATATGTCTTGAAGAAGTAGGCTATTTGTTCTCTAATCAGATACAGATCTTCACAGTGTCCAGTGACCCAGACACTGAGATCATTTGCAAATTCTACTTCATGTTTCTAAAATTCTAAATTCTCTTTTAACCTCAATATCTATCTATCTATCTATCTAACCATTGCATTAGTGGCTATTTCTCTGAAAACAAACAACAAAAAAGAGGTTGAAGCCCAGCTATTTAAGTAATAACGTTCCATGAGCTCATATTTCAATTCTGGACCTTGTCCCTGGGGGGAATAGGGGGTGCTATCTTACTTTTAGAGTTTTTTTCCTGCTATTTCCCAAAGCTAGGTCAGATCACTGAAGCCTAGAGATAGAGCTACCTGAGAAGAGTTGAGTTGGGGCTAGAAGGGTTCTTAAAGGAACTTTCTAGAAACTGGATGGATAGGCACATTTACAGCAGGAAAACCACAGGAATTCTATTCCTGGATGATTACCCTGTGTGCATCTCAATGTATCTGAAGACAATTTGGCCATACTAAAATATCTATGAAAGTTATCTGAAAGGGAGGAGGGCACAGCAAATCCTCTCTCTCTCTCTCTCTCTCTCTCTCTCTCTCTCTCTCTCTTCTTCAGTTTATCAGCCTGCTAAAGGTTTTCCAGAACATTGAAGTCTATACTTTCTTCAAGTTTGAAACTTGTGCCTTCTTGGCATGCTGTAGGGTCCTAAAGAGGAGGCAGAAGTCCAATGTTTCCATTCACTAACAGTGACTGAGAAAAAGCCACATGCTAGTGGCAGGCCTGAGAAATACAGAATCTACCCAGGGGTCCCAGCAGTTCAAAGAGGAGCCCCCCCTGATACCAGATAATGGCAGATAAAACTACCAAACTTAACAAGCCAGCATAACTGAGGCCCTGGGCTGCATGCAACCTAACATTAAAAAAAAATCATCTGAAATTAGCTGTCTTAAAAGAGGATTTAAAACAAATTCCCTATCATGCTCCTAACTAATGCATACAATGAAGTTCAAAGAACTACAGTTTTCTTAGAGTTCTTTTTTTATTCCTCTATAATCATTGTTTAGAACTTTTCCCTAAAGTTTAACCACCAAGTTTCAGTGCCTGGTTTGTGACCTGTATCCTTGGGGATTTAATTGTAAAGCTAATTATTCACTGTTTGGGGGAAAGCAAAATTTTAAACTGGCTTCAGGACTCAAGAGCTCTGCCTGCTTTGCCATCTATCAGGTTTGTTATATATGTAGATAGAGGGAAGATCCGTGTCTTCTTAAATGAATTCAAAGGAAAAGTGGATACCAAGGGACAAAATGTTTTAATCCTGTCACTAGTGAGCAGTAACCTGGTGTCTGGTATGTGTGATTCTGGTAACCTAGGAAGGAAGAACACTTGCTTTAGTTCGTTGATTCCTGCATGTCCTATGACCCACACTCATCTCCAAAGCCATCTCCCGCCTCTGCCCACCCTCAGAGTATCCTCATATGTTTCAGGCTTTGCTCTCTTTAGTTTTCTAAAACTGATGGGTCATTTTTCTAGAAATCTCAGCTCAACACAACTCAACCTGGCAGGAAAAGTTTTCTAAGATAGGTAAATGTGGTTTGCCTCATATTTCCTGGCTCCTGTGATATAGTCCCAGATTTTCCAAAGCAGTTGTCAAATGCTATCAACCACCAAATGGACAGAATAAGGGTCTTCCTAACCAATATCTAAACACTATGCTTGTGAGACAACATTAAAAAGTAAGGTTACGGCTGGGTGCTAATAACTCATACCTGTAATCCTAGTCTCTCAAGAGGCTGAGGTCTGAGGATCTAGGACTCCTATCCAATTAACCAGCAAATACTGGAAGTGGAGGTATGGCTCAAGTTGTAGAGCAACAGCCTTGAGCAAAACAGCCAAGTGAGTGTGTAAGGGCCTTAGTTCAAGTCACAGTACTGGCACAAAAAATAAAAAAGTAAGATCGTCTTATAATATCTTAAACTTAGACCTCTTGACTGGATGTCAAAGAGACTTTTATTAAACATTTCCTCACAGCAAGAGCTCTTCCTGTGAGGCTCCAGTGTGAGGATTTATGATTTGGAGCCAATTATTTGATCTTTCAATGTTTATTCCCTTTATTTGTTGATACTCTATACTATACCAAAAGGATTTAAGTAAGGAATTCAACAAAAACAGGACAATGCAAAATGAAAAGTGTGTTTAGTGCACAAATGCAGAACCTTAATGTACTCTAACTAAATTTGCCCAGTGAAGGGGCATCTTTAAAAGATGCTAGAATTGGTAATAATGGCCAGAAGTACCTTTTCATGATAAGAACAAAGCTTTCCATGAGGAGGGTAGAGGATAAAAATAGCACAGACCGCTAATATCCAGAGATACATTTAAAGCTAGATTTCTACCAGCTACATGTGCCTGGTGTATAGTATGTAATGATTGTATGGGTGAATGGATGAAAGTGAAATATCCATCACTTATTTGCAGAGTGCCTATTCTGTGCCACCGCATAGAGTAATATAATAAAGTGATATAAATAAAATAGACGTTCAGCTCTTAGGAAGTAGAGGAAATGGAATATATACAGAACAATATTGAAGGTTACAGGTTAGATGAGAATGAGGAAGACATAGACAGTGGGCGGCCTGTTCTCTGACTTATACATGGCACTATGCCTCCGTCAAAGAAGCAAAGAGCTAGTCTGACTGGAGATTGAATTCTTGGGTGATTTACAGGTTGAAGAACACTAAATGCCACCAGAAAGGTAGGAAAAGACCCACATACAAACACAAATGTCGAGCCGGTTGGCTCTGTGTGGGTGGAAAAATTATTTGAGAAGTGATGGAAATATGAATCCATGAAGGATAGACTTGAAGACAGTTGGGCAGTGGCTTCATTATCTAGGCAAGGAGCTAACAAAGCACATGCAGACTCAAGTGGATGGAAAGGCATCCATCTTAAAGCAATGTATGATTTTTCCTTTGACTACTGTATTGGATTTCATAGTTAACAGGACTGAGGGATAGTCTTTAAACATAAATACACCAAAAAGATATTCACAGCCACTTTAAATTTTTCAGTAAGTTTCAATGACCAAACCTAGCCATTGTTTCGAACTATTTACTCTAAATGGTTACACCTTAGCTCTCAGTTTCACTCAACTTGAGTGCTAGGCTATTTTGAACTAAGAAAAGAACCTTGAATGATAGAAGTAGGTAAAGAATCCTGTTCTACTTCTTAGTAATGTAAATAGCTAGCAAACTGTCACGCATCTCTATTGTGCTCATCATGCACCTGTGTATAAAGTTGCTGGATTAACAGTCCATCCTTCAGGACTGGTCAGGACATAGATCTGGTAATTTTTAGAAAGCAAAACACCAAGAAATGTCTTGCAAACTTGATATCCTTTATCTGTGCTTGTTGAAGTCTGTTCTTTTCCCTTGTACCATAAATTGAAGCTACATGTCTGGTGGCTCATAGTTGTAATCCTAGCCATTCAAGAGGCTGAGATCTGAGGATTGTATTTCATAGCCAACTTAGGCAGGAAAGTCTCTGAGACTTTCCTATCCAGTTAATCACCAAAAGCCCAAAAGGAGAGGCATGGGTTGCTCAAGTGGTAGAGTGTCAGCCTTGAGCAAAAGAGCTAAAGTATAATACCAAGGCCTTGAGTTCAAGCTCCAGTAACCAGCAAAAAAAAATTCTTTTAATTAATTAAAGCTAAAAGTGGTTGGAAGTGTGGCTCCATTAGTAGAGTGCTAGCCAATTAGTGAAAACATCAAGTACTGAGTCCAAGTCTTGGTCTTGGACCTAAAAAAAGAGAAGAAGCTAATTAATTAACTAATTAAAGCCAATGGAGAAATCCACCAAGAAGCCTAGAAGAAATCACTGCCTCTTTTGCCACCCAATTATACAAGGGGCCTGAGATGTCAATGGGAATTCCCAGAGAACCCAGGGCAGGTTCACTAATGTTGTCGCTCACACTAGAATGATTGGTGGTGTGAAGTCAGGAATCAAGAAATATCTCTGAAGCCAGAGACACACTCGGGGTCCCAGAGAGACAATGTGACAGATTCAGACACAGGTGAACAGTCTTGAGATAGCCTGAAGGGCTTATGGGAGAAGAGAGCAGAGGAAGTGTATGACCGAGCTGGCCACTGCTACCCAGTAGAAGAGAAGTATGAGCACTCTCCATTTCCATAGAGAATGAAGCAAGAAGTTTCCAGTGGGCGTGTCCCCATCAGTTTTTACCCAGCATCCCCTTCCCCTGTTTCCATGTATCTCTAAGAATCCTAAGGACCCATTTGTCTAGACAGGCCCTTTGGAGACCCTAAGAGAGAGGCTCCAGCAGTCAGCCAGTGGTGGTCTGGCTATGAAAGAGCCCCTATTTA